CCCCGCCCCGCCCACCCCGCTCCTCCCCGATCTCGCCTTCAGTGGCACCGACGGCGCCAGTAGTGCTCGCGATTAACTTTGCATCAACCGAGGATTGGTGAGGTGTTGGGATTTGAAATAAGGTTTCACGCTCACCGATGGGGTTAATTCAAGTGTAGTTATTATGACGACGACGTTTTAAAATTTTGAATTGCCAAGGTTTTAAATGATTAACCGTTAGTGATATCGGACACGTCAACTACTAAGGTCATTTGTTCCGTAAGTGTAGGTGGCGATCTTCCCCCGATGGATGGCGAGATCCGGCGCCGACCTACCGTCGGGTACCAGGATTTCCCCCACCCAGGTTTTAATTAATTGTTATTTTTATTACTTGCATTCAGTATCATAAGGGTCCCATAATTTGGTCATGATTAGGCCACATCAATCTATTAGTACGTCTTTCACGCTGATATCTCCTTCCGAAAGATCCTTGTCATTTTTAACACAAATTGATGCTTTTTAGTAGATAATCGGGAATTTAATTATTTTACATAGGATATTTTACTTTGGAGAAGACAAGTAAAGAATGGATAAATTCTAATTGAGTATAAGATTTGTTTTTAACAGTACTTTGTTGAACAACAAGTAAACCTTGACGTAAGAAACACCCACGCAAAACATCTTCTCTCAGAATTATATTCCACGATTTGAAGCAATTAGTTCGCGGAAATGAAATTCGCATCCCACTAAGATTGGAGTGAGGTGTGGAGAACAAATTACAAGTTAGTGACTAAAACCTAATTTATAGGAAATGAGATTCAAAGTTAAAATTATATATAAAAGGATATTGTAATCCAAGTAATGATCCTCTCTGATGATAATAATGGATAACGAATCTGCTTAGAACTTGCCATTTATTGAAAGGTCACTCTTAAGAGGTAGATTATTCATCGAATTAAATTATATTTGAAATAAAATTGGCGGTTACCGCAAAAATATTTTTGAAATCCGAGTTAGAGATGGAAAGTAGATTAGAAAAGGAATGAAGAAGAAAGAGTCACTTTCCTTCTCCTGTAGGATCAAAATGTCATTTTCACGGTCTGCAATATAGAACTGTAGAACTGGCAGTGACTGGTGCAACAACTGAAGCTGAAATTCCGTTCCAAGTTGCAATTCATTGAGTGTGCACGTGATAGTGTACAAATGTTCATAGGCGTTCAAATATGCAGGCCCTCATACACGTGCGTGTACATAATCTCCCGTGATACGTATGTCCATACCCATACGTAAGTGTTATGGGTATGCGTGCGTAAATGTATTGTTCGTGCGCATAATTGTTATGCGTTATCGCTCAATTTTATAAATGGGAATCATTTCATGTGTTCTGGTTGAAGCCTATGTGATTGATATATTTGTATTTTCGAGCACGTGAACAGCTGTAATAAATAGTTCCGTAAGTGGAGGGCATGTTGCATGCCACGAGATGACCGTGTTCCTTCCCCGCTTAAACGTCAGATGGGCACCGACATGCGGAGCTTCTCACCTTCACGTATCTCTACAAACAGGGCAGTGCCATAGGCGGGCCAAGTCCTAACCCCCGAATGGGCTACCGACGTGTGTGGTAGTGAAGTGCATCTAACGTGATAACGCATGTCTGTACGAGGATAGATTGGAATAAGATCGGGTGCGGAGGAAAGATCGCGAAGGAAAGGTCGCGCGTGGTCCGTGGCCCCTTTTATAGGATACTGCTCCGGCATTCGCCTGTTGCTTGTTGATAGGAGAAATTACGGATAGCCACCGATCAGAGCAGCCGGCCGCTAGAATTCTCTTCTAGACAGCGGCTGAATTCGACCTAGCTATCTAGCTAGCATCGAAAATCCTGCCACCGTCAGGACTCAAACTCTGGAACACTGCAGTTGAAGCACATGTGAAATAGTTGTACATAGTTCTCGTAGATGCTGTCCATAAATGCATTATTCACATGTGCTTATTCACGGTTGTGTGCCGTTGTCAAGGACTACAACGCTGAAGTTAATCATGCCATTTGTCCCACTTCAACTCTCATTCTCTGGAAAACTCTTGCTGTCACGAACAACTTGTTCCGCCATGTTGGCAGCTCGTGCGAACGTGTTGGCAAAGGTCCGGTCCTCTCACCTCGATCGTCCAATTGGGCCCACAGTGCCGATCCTCGCTGCCATGCGAGAGGTGACCTCTGCCAGATTCGATGCTGTAACTTTCACTCCGACCTTTGGCTGAGACTCAGACCACCTCTTTGTCTCAGAGATGGCGGATAAAGGACATCTTTATGTTATTGGGCGCATCGTGTTAGATATGGCTCGACATTGTATTTAAATCCGATGTCATAACAGCCTTGATAAGTGTCTCCTAAAAGTGAAGTGGAAAGATTATACAATGTTATTAAGCTGCATTATTATTGAGTATGTGTGCGAACATAAATATCGTGCATTATCAACGTAGTTCGGAAGTCTAAAAAAAAGTAATGCAAATTACAATAAAATTGTCACCAGTAAAACTCGAAGGGTCAACATATTTTAGATATATTCATTGAAATATCACGCATCCGTTAGGAAGTTCGTTGCGTATTTCAAGCCGATCACTCAACTAACGTACATGGTTTACTTTCTGTTGAATGTATATAAAAGTAGTCTGCCAAAACTATTAAACATTTTTATCCCTTCAATGTGACTTGAATTAAGAAGGTCATTTTGGCCTTTTATAACTTGCTACTTCCATCAAAGATTTTTCTTTTGTTGTTGTTAACAAAAAAGAGTTATAATTAATTAGTTTTCTCCTCGTTCCGGAACACAAATGCTAAGCGAGATAATGCATAACATTCAATGGTTTCATTATTGTTGAAGTGTACAATTTTAATTCTATCATATGTTTTTTTAAGTCCTTTATATTCAATGGCTTATGTTTTCTCAAGGCACTTTTACTTATGCATTGTGCAACTTTTTTAGGTGGCGCAGGAAGAAGTTCGGCAAAGAAGATTACATTGTGTTCGGTTTAGCGGGGATTTTGCACTTCCAGGTAAGAAGACGTTTTATTTTTATTTTGCCATAGTTGTTTTCAACTTTGTTCCAAAACATTTCGCAATCATAAAACCTCATGTTCTCTTGCAGCAGTTTAGTAATATGCAATTCCGTAATGAATATTCATTTTGCACATGTCGTCAATCTCAATTGTCTCTCCTGCAGATGCGATGTACGTGGCATTTTCCAACGTTCTGAATTAAAATATGTAGCAAATGAGTTCATCAAGTTCCGAGAATTTGATCTGTTGTATAAGGGAGAACCTGATGCTGATAATAATTTGATAAATCTATTAGGATGTGCGGAACATTGAAAAGGCCAAGAAATACACACTACCAATTTTCTACGAAATACTAGCAATCTCTTTTGGGATATACGGATGGGAAATATGAACAATGGGTACAAAAATAAAAAGTTGTACGCATATTGCCGCAATTAAGTTTGTAAGGGGTTGCATCGGCGTTTCAAGAAGACAGGATCCGGCACGAGGGTATTTGTAACTGTCAGCGAATTTTTAATATTTTTTAAAAATTTATTTTCTTCCTGTTAGGCAATTTTGCTTTTAGAGTTTGTAAATTTCTATATTTACACAAAACATTTGATCTGATAACCTCTCACTTTGGTAGATTTTTACTACTAGCTTATGTACAATATTTTACACTTATAACATACACATCTTCACAATTTGTATACATCCAATATTCTTCATTCTTAGATGTCTATCCTCAACATACGTGCATTAAAAAATGTACTTACGTGAAAATTTACAAGTTTAAACATACATTATTACAATTATTATGTGTTATCATGGGTGTCTTAGCATAGCTTTCGGATATCATGTACGGAGAATATATAATCTAATGGAAATATTGAGAAGATCAAGAAGAAGGAAAAGAAGATGAAGATTTAAATACTGTCAATGAAAATATATATAATATTGGAATGTTACGTAATTATTAGAAAAATAAATACTTTATAGCAAATTGTATAAATGAAGAAAGAGAAGTGAGTGAAATACCAACATTTAATATAATCACATGAAAATACGTTTCTAAAGAATGATGCTGATATAATGTGAACTATTCCATTATTGTATCAATAACAAAAACAATATATTAATTATTAAAAGACGTTTATGATATTTGGAAGAAATATTGTTGTCTGAAATCTACATAATTATCTTTATGTCACTGTAAACGCGTCAATAGTTGTTAGTCTTACAAACGTGCTTTCTGATACATAAGATTAATATAGTTCCTTCTAAATAACCCTCATTCAAAATGCTTCCCTTTCTCTACTCCTATACCGTTTGTTTTCTTTTTGAAAGGGGAGGTGATAATTTAACTGAGACGAGTTCTCACAGAGCGTGCACGAGTATGTGTGTCACATTCCCTTTCCGAAGTTCGCAACGGAGGAGCTGAAGGAGCGTGGGATTCGGAGAAACTTCGCTGCCTCGTAGGTTAAGCGCGGCGCTGCGAGGTGAAGCCTTTTTGCGTTCGTGTGTGTTTTCTTGTGGGCTTTATGTAACAACTCAGAATATTTCCTCTAAAGAATGAAGCGTGTGGAGGGTTCAGGGCGCCTTGACAGGCGACGGTGACTGCACATTCCCCACCCCACACTTTCGACGGCCAACAAAATACTAACTGTGAGAATTCCCGTTTTTTTCATGAGGGACGTTTTGTGTTGTAGTTGACAACATGTAAGTAAATAAAGGATTTGACGTGAATTTCAATGCCAAAACTATCAGCTGCAATATAAATATTTTTTTTAAAAGAATATCTTAATTACCTAGTTTGTAAAATAACAAAAATATTAAATATATTTTTGAGGAGAGATTATTTATGAATTTAATATTTTTTTTTAATTTTCTAGGTTAATCTACGCTGTTCACGTCTTCTCAAAACAATGCTACAGTATGTCAAATTGGCGAATTATTATGCTTTATGCTCTACTGTACAGTAATGTCATGATCTGGGTTTCATCAGCCTTAAGGAAGCATGTGGAAATATACCGGTGTTAAGTGTTTGGCAAGATATTAACAATGTTTATATATACATAAGAATGTAATTGGTTCCACACAAAATATTTTTAAGAATAATATTTCTTAGATAAAGATATGCAACTCGCTCTCTGATCCAATTCCAGTGAGTTTAAGGCCTTTACTCTGCCTACTTACGCTGTCTGACATCAACTCTTTTCGAAACGCATTTAAATAGAAGAATACAGAGGTGGCAAAAATAACGTCGTATTGTGGAAGTGACAACACACTAGAGCAAATTGTACAATTCATTTTTAGCAGAATATCATATAATCATTGCTGGATATGGAAACTATCTGAGTTACATGACACTTAAACTAAATTATTTTTATTCACAAGCTGGACTCTCAATAAAAATGGACAAATCGGAATACCTGGCTGTTGGTAACAATATTATAGTAGATCTTCCTTTATGTAATACCATGAAAACGAAAGGGGTACAAAATATAAATACCTGGGTGTGATCTTCAATAACAAGGGTTTGAAGCAAGAAGGAATAGAAAAAAGAGTAGGCTTTATTTATTTATTTATCATCAAAACGGTTAAGAACTGTGTGACATACTAGGGGGGAAAACAGCAATATGTGCAAGGTTTGAAAAGAAACATGAAGCAATTTGTGAACAACCAGTTGTGGAACAAAGTTATTAATATCACTTTAAAAAACAGCTTAGCAGAAAATAATACAATTGTAATTAATAATTACATTATTGCAATGCGAGAGTTAGACGGGAAAATCACATCTCTTGATTTTAGTGATGAAATTTTGGGTGAAACTGTAGATACATCAGACGTGACAGAAAACAGAATAGTGATACAAGTAGCGAAATGAAAACAGAAAAATCAATATTCGATGAAATAGAGAAGAGACATATAATGTTACGTGGAGACATCAAGCGCGTGGATAATAACAGATAGCCAAATTGAGTCTTGCAATGGATAGCAGCAGTGCGTCAGAAAAGAGGAAGATCAAGTGGAACATGAAAACAAGAAGTGGAAGAGGCCAGGATACCCAGGCAAATTCAAGACGACTAATGAAAAGACAGCAATGCCTGAAGATTGAGAGGGGAAAAACGGCGACAGCTGTAAAGCAACTCCGTTGTTCATGATACTTTTTACACTGGGACCCTCGACCTCACCATCACTACCTGCTATATTTTTTTAGAGCCAACGCTTTACATTCAGTTTCCGATGTGTAAATTCTTCCGTATCTTTGGTTAATATTGAATAATGTATAATAAAAAAGAACAATAAATAATCCCGTTATTACTTGCAATTGTTATTCTTAAACATCTCTTTATTATCTCTGTTCTTCGCTTTCTGATAATCAAATGCAATAATATTGTTTAATCTTAAAATCGCTATAAAATTAAATATACATTCAAATGTTTATAAATTATTTCGCAAAGTACTCATGTATTCTGGGATAGATCGAGACAGCTCGCGATATGCTTACAACTAACATCTAATACCTTAATGAATAGAACATTACAAGGTCAACGCCCCTTCATTCATAGTGTAAAACAGCAGCAAACGCACTTGAATATCATCGAAGCATCTAACAACCTTCCAAGTGATGGTGTGAGGGAAATATTTGACAAAAGGCAACGAATCAAAAATCTCTTAGAATTAGGGTACGAGTTTACAATATGCAGAATTTCTCCCATCTCTATTTTTAACGAATAGAACGTCAGAAATGCAATTTCATTCATAGCTTACGTCGATAACATACACATGGTTCCCGTCGTATCGATTAACATCCTACCACGTGAGGAGTATGCCATTATTCTGTGGATGTTCGAAAACTCTTGTCAGTAGAATTGAGGTTACTCCGCGAGACAATACGTCGGAGGGGAGTGTTGTCGCCCCACTCACTGCTCGCGTGCATGCGGGCGGTGCTGATGTGGGCGTCCGCCGGGAGCACAACGGGCGTTTAGAGTGACGACTGAATTGTGCTGCTGCCTGGCGCTAAACGGGCGTGATATGCAGAAGCGCAGGCACTTGGTAGAGTCCTTTCACCCACTCAAATGACTCATATAAAACCACTATTGTAAATTCGGCCCTAAAAGTTCGTAATAAAAATATATTAAATTACGTGCCATTTGATTTGATTTATTTTCTATGAAATAACAGTAAATACCGTATGTGATGAATGGGAGAAAAGTATAATTTGCACCCATTTTCTTGAGCTCCAGAATCTGATTCCCACTTTTTACCATACATATTTGTATAATGAGTAATAATACCAACTTGTTAGCAACATTTCAGTAGTAAGTAACATTATCGAATCTTCCCCTTCATCCTGAAGCTCGATTGATTGATTAAATGATTGTTAGTAATCTCGGGTGCATCAACTGCTAAGGTGATTAATCCAATAGGTGTGCTGCATATTTTTTTCTCGCGTGAACTTTCCCCGCTGGTTGGCGAGATCCCGGGGCCGACTCACTCCAGGCTAGAGGGGTTTCCCCAACCAGGTATCTCCCACCAGTGGAGCATACACCCCCCCAGCCGGGGCAAGCTCTATGAGCCCCTTCAGGTCTCCCAAAATGAGTGGTAGAGTACTACATACTAGTGTAAATGGGTGTAAGTGGGTGAGGATAGGACAAGGACAGGGAAGGAAGATCGCCGGCGGTCCACAACCCGTTTGTTAGGGTACTGCTCCGGCATTCGCCTGGTGTAGATAGGGAGAAACCACGGAAAACTACCGATCCCAACAACAACCGATCGCTAGAATTCTCCTCCAGACAGCGACTGAATTCGACCTAGCTGACAAGCTAGTGTCGAAAATCCTGCTACCGTCGGGACTTAATCCTAGGACCTCCCGGTTAGAGGCACTGCAGTGGGGACATCAGTTGATGCCCTGAGCCACCTCTCCCGGTCGGAAGCTCGACTTTGGTTCCTCTGACAAAACCGATTTGTGCACCTTCCGTGTGGCCATCGCGGCGTCGGCGGGAGCACACGCGAGCTTCCAACGCGCGCGAATCGGGGACAAGGCGACGCGACCCACACTACAGAGGGTGGGGGAAGGGAGGGGAGGGGGCGGAGGCGAGGCCTAACAGACGCTCCGAGAGGGGAGTCCCGGCGCGTTGGAAATGATGTAGAACTGATCGAAGCATCGGTGAACGGCTTCTCGGCTAAATGGATATTTACTTGTGGCTCCATGCATCACGGAATTTAAAATTAAAGTTGAGCTCATCTAACGAGCTATTCCAAAAGTTCGATTTCGCTCTTCTCATTGACTGAGGCCACGAACAACAAGGTTTTTTCTCATCATTTGGTGTCGCGAAGGTTGTTAAGTAATACGCCGGAAGAAGCTTTAAAGGGTCACGTAATTGAAATTGATGTTTGCGGAGGAGGATCCTATTGGAATACTTAACGAACCAATCACATGCTATTGCAAACTTCGAATAGTAGACTGCATTCATAAAGCGACAACAGATTGCATCAACAATGATCATTTACAATATACACTTAACTGCACCATCATGGAACTGCGAAAAGGCTCGCCAAAGTAATTTCTTCTTTCAGGGAGGATACACAGCTTTCTTGCTTCAGACTATTAGACATATACAACTAGAATACAGAACATTCTTATATAATTGTCACCTCCCGTCACATTGTTGGACACAATTACGGTCGGTGCATGTATTGTTCCGCAGTCGTAAATAAATCCAAATTGTGACCATGTTTGTAAGTAACAATGCGTTTTAATAATTACATTTGTTTCAAGAATTGGTCACACCCGACCGAGATTCGAACCAGGGGCTTCTAGTTACGCCCACCTGCTCTGACCTGAAAGCTACCGCTACCAGAACAGCTGGGCGTAAACCAGAAGCCCACGATTCGAATCTAGGCCGGGTGCGCCCAATTATTTGAACAAATTTAATTATTTAACACATTCTTATAATTCGAAAGCAGACTTTTGATCTCATTTTCCAGGCTTTTATAATTAATGCATTGCCTAACATCAACTTATGCATCCGTTCTGTAGAAGGAACCACTGGTTCCTCTTCTACAGCCTACGTACCACTCGCAGTCGAACATCACAGCGCTGCGTCACTTGCCGGTGCCCTGGCCTTCCTTCGCCGGTGCAAATAGCGTTGCTGCGTCGTACGTGACCGCTCTTGCCGTCTGGCGACCTCCGACGTGTTTGGTCCCTTGCGATTGGGCCTTCGCGCGGCATAAGTTAACAAGTGCGAATTGACGAGGTCGCCTGTCAGCGAACGTCCAAAACACTCAGAACTGTGTTTTACATCATTGCTCGTACACACTTTGAAGCTTCGTTTTGATAGAATAATAGAACATGTTATAGTTGTTGATCTCATTCGGACGATGTAGAGTAAATAACGGACGCTGTACTCGTTTCAAAGTAGAGGTGAAGTTGAGGTTTATATCCAATCGTTTAAGTTATTTGCGTTAACGAACGTATAATTTTCAATATTTATTGTAATACTACTTATGAGAAAATCACATGAGAAATACTGGTGATTTGAATTGAAGAAGTCGTACGCCATTTTTTACTGCGACTCATTTCTTGTTTCGATTTTCCTTGACGGACAATGGCCAGTAAAATACCTAAATTAAATTAAGATTTGGTTTTATATCTCTCTGATTAGTTACATCGTACTATCACTATTAGTTACTTACTACTATTACGAAATAATATATTTGTGTAAAACTATTTCATAAAGTATATTCACCGTACGTTACCAATATTCAAGAGCCATCATGCATTGAATTTAGCATTTTCAAACTTATTTAATGGAATTGCTCGAGTAAAGTTTTACTTCCTATGTCGAGAAAGGATAAAATTGTCTAAACGAGTATTGTATTTTTTCCGTTATATAGTTTTTTTCTCTCTCGTTTTACACGTTTTAACATTTTTTATGATTCAGATGGACAAACAGAGAAAAAAAGATTAATGCTTTTATTAACCGATTGACAAATTGATATATTAAACAACTAATTAGTGCTTTATGCCCTCAGCTCTCCGTCAAATAGTGGAAGATGAGCACCCACTTCGCTGAACAATAAGCTTTCAATGCTTGCAAGTAAGCCTTTTCCCCCTCAGTAGGCGGTTTGGGGACCTCACAGTACTTTGGGCGCCTAGCGCCATATGTGAGATAATTCAACATGAAAATAACCCGTTTGTATCCCGGAAAATAAGCTGTACTATGATAAGTCGTGAGTGATATTCTGTTCTTACGAAACCGTATTATCGCCAGCCAAGAAAAACGACGCCCCATGGTCACAAAACCTGAGGACAGACGATTAGAGGCTGCGATTTTGGCGTTAGAAGAGAAAACCTTGCCGGAACCAAAGAAGGAGAAATGGCGAAAGTGGCAAGCTTAGTGTTGATTGCGCTACGCTCATTGTTCCATAATTCCGTCCGTACGAATTATCGTATTATCCTGCGCTTGGCATTTAACTATCTTAGGTAGTAACTAATGCGCACATTATTGTGCGTCCACAAGTTTTCAGTAGGTCAATGAGAACAATGCATTTGCAAAGGAAGTGTGTCTTACGCCTCATACTACTCATTTAGCCAAAACATTTTTTTTTGTTAATATCAAAGCAACGGTGGGCAACAGAAGCTCAGCCTCGCGGATTAGAAGGTAATGTTGAATCATCCTTTATGTTGAAAAGATGAATGCTTCTCTGATGCAAGGTCCTCTGATGCCGAATCAAATGTTCGTACTGAAGTTCGCGGCATTGAATCCGAATGTTAATGTCGGTCATTTTTTTAAAAAAATGTAGGTACCCTTCGTAAATCTTGAAATATGAGGCTAACGGATGTCTTTGACAGAATTAGACTTTTATTACACAGTCGCTTGTCCATGAAAAAGGAAAAACCAACTTTATAGGTAAGCTATGCAGTGTATATCGGGTTCCGTATCGAAGGTATGAAGCAATAAAGTATCATTAAAAAAGTATAATATTTTCCAATAAATAATTATTTTAAGGGTCATGACACTTATTTTGCTTTTTTACATCTAATATGACTCAGTTTTTCATATGGCTTAATTCTGAACCGTATATAGTCATTGCACAAAAAAATGACACAGCTGAATGTTCTCGCTTAGGTGTAAACGGTTTTAACCTGCGCAGAGTCATGTATTCCGCGACCAAAGGCATACCGGCTGCCATGTGAACTATCTCAGGCGCGGATTCATAGGAGGAAACAACGGAAATCCGATTTTTTTTCCTAAATATTAATAACTTAAGTAACAATTAAATTCAACTTGTGACGAAACTTTTAAGCATACATATTTTTGGATAATCATTAAAACGAATAAAATCGTATAGCAGCAGGAGCTGAGTGGAGCTTGCGACATTTTACAAAATCTGTAATTCGACCCAAACACCCCCCCCCCCAATTTGTCTCTAGATCCGCCCTATCTTGATAAAATTCGTACCAGTAAAATATATTCATTTTTAAACATTTCTTCGCTTATTCCTAAAATGACGATTCCTGAGTAAAGGTGACATGCTTTGTGAGCCCTCAATACGCGACCTACGAATTTAGTCTCGAACCCCAGAGCGAGCCACACGCGTGCGTCAGCCAGTGACGTGGGGGGTGCGCCAATGGGGCGTGAGCGTCGTTGTAAATCACGGGCGCCTTCGAAGCCGGTGGCGGCGGCGGCGGCCGCGGCCCCGCGCGCTCTCTTGATTAATGGTCAGCACGGAATGGGGGAGGGGCCTTCGGTGGTCGCCAAGGTCCCGAAGCGCACGGAGACGAGTCGCGAGTAAACAAAAATGCGCGACTCACGCCGCGCCGGCCGCTGGGCTCGCCCAACGGCACGTGCCTCTCGCTCCTCGGTTTGGGGGCGTGACGACACCGTTGGATTCTTGGAGATTCTGGCCGAACAGCCTCGGATGAAATTATTAAGTGATCGGTTTTTTTTTGTTTTGTTTTTTTTTCCACGAATGTTGGTCTCAGAGACCTAGAGCTGGCAGTAGCTGGAAGTCATCGTCAGAGATGAACCCGCGATGAGTTGAAGGAGGTGATGTGGCGCTTTTACTATGCAAAAGCAAAAAACGGAATCTCAGATATAGAAGTTTTCAAGATATGGAGAGAGCAGAACCAATCACCTACGATAAATAACCGGTAGTGGAAATTGTAGAGCAGAAACACTTGGAAATGCGGATGACGACTTTGACAAGAATATTCCGATGGCTCCTTTGTAAATATCACAGGCAAAAATTATTTAAAAAAATAAATCCCTGTAGTAAATACTTACGTGAAAAGAATATGGAATTGCCTCCTTCGACAAAAATGTTTTGATGCTTCGTTTGTAATTCTCAGAAGTAACATTTTTAAAATTACTTAAATGCCTGATGAACACTTGTGTTCTCAGAATATGAAATTACCAAAAAAGATAAAAACATCGCGTTTCATAAGTTACTATGTAGTGTAGTCCGATTCGTTTGTCAGAAGAATGGTATGTATATATTTTTGTAAATTTCTTTCTAAGATACTTATACAAGAAAATTACAACTTACCTAAAGGTAAAGAGTTTAATTTTATTACGTATATTAATTCTGAGTTGCTTGAAGTCATAGATTATGTATTATTCACGTGAGGGGCGTATATGCTGGGCACTAATCAAGGAAAACATATCGTGAAAGCGATATTAAGCATAAATTATCTTCAATTACCTCAACGTACACATCACCAACTGTAATCAGCCTCCTTGACTTTTTCGAAAATAATAAAAACCTCTGATCAAAAATTAAAAATATTAAAATACAAAAGTTGAAATGCAACGTATGAAATTGTGAAAAAATGTGTAATTCTTTGCAGTGTAAAGCAAATAAAATACGATTAACTTATATTAATCTTAATTACATATGATTGAAATTAAATACGAGTAATTGAATGTTTATTGAATGTGATATTTTTAGTTATAGAATATTCAATTAAAGGATTGAGAGTGTAGTATTTATTACTCGTGATTTGGTAAGAAACATTCCTTTTTAACATATAATTAACAACATTAACATGATATGAAAAGTTGAAAACGAGAAAAACACACAAATATCGAAAGATTAACAACTACCAGTGCCGAGGAAACGCATCACAAGAGTCAAGTCTATTCAGTTTTTGTTCTACTCTTGCGGTTACTTCCACTTTCTGTGACCTTATTCGGAGTCCCATCGCGGTTCGCATTCCATTATGGATGCTAGAATGTTTCATCATTGCATTCTTCAGACAATGAAAGACAGTGAGTATTCACAAAAGAGAATCAAGTATGATTCATGTCTTCTAAAAGAACAGTATTAATAGGAACAAATTTTCACTAACATTGAACTAGATCCTTATGTTAGACATGCAAACGTCATACAATCCTCGTACGGCATTTGCACGTCCTCATCTCAAATAATGGAGATAAATATTTGAATTTTCTCACTGAATAACCAGTATTGTTATATGTGCCTGTGTAAAAAGAAATATATTTTACCATTTAAAGTAAGTGATCATGAGTTATATGTGGAAGAGCTTTCATCCATTTTTTGTAAGCAGAAAAAAGTCACACTTTCTTGGAGATTTTTACGGGTTTTGAAAGGTTATTATTAATTTGAATGTCGTGGAAAATGGTCATAGGTTAATTTTATATTTATAATTAATTTCCTATTTATAACTTTATTATTTTTAAGTTATGAGTAAAAGTAGTAATCCTTGAAGATCGTCTTCCTTCTGGAATTTGCTCCTAGTATTAGTTTACATAATATTTCCTTATTAAACACATTTACCTTATATGAAGAAGTAATATTTCAAACACAAAGCTATAAAGGATATCCCACAAACTATGAGCCATTCCCACAACTTCTAAACGGTTCACGATATCGAAATGCAGTTTTCGTCCAACAATGTGGAATCATGGGGCTTGTATAGATAAGCTGTAATATGCTGTAAAGATATTGTTTGAAATATTTTTCGTCTTCGAGAAATTTAATTATCTTTTATTTATTTAATGGAACTACTGTATATACTATTTGTATCATCGCCAATGGATAGATCATAAAAGAGGAATACAATGATATATCATACGATAGTCTTTTATTAGTAATTTAAGAGGAAAATTAGACTTTCGTGAACTGTCGTTAACTGTAGAAGATACAAGGGTGGTTCACAATTGGCGGGACACCTGAAATCATATTTTTTTGTTCATATCTTATTTCTACTTTCTTTCCCCCTCTTTCTTTCTTTCTTTTTTCGTTCCTTCCTTCTACTTTCCTTGTCTTTTTCTTCCTTTTGTTCTTCTGCACATAAATGTCTACCCTTTCGTCTCCTCCCCGTTGTTCTTATATTTCTTCTTCCACTTCTACTAGAAATACTATTTATTCTTTGTTTTCATCCTACAGAGCTACGACAACCCAATTAGAGGTTTGATATCGCATTGTCTTAGTCACAGTGCTACTGGCCTTTCTGAATTATGGGCAACCGGCCATTCGTTAACGGGATATAAGTCCATCTGCCCCTGAGGATGGAAGTGGAGATGGAAGGGTTGCGCGATATTCGCGGTCCTTATTGCTGCTGCGGGAGCCGTCAGTTATTCATTGAAGAATATCCCAAAAATGGGCACAGCCGACATTTCTAGAATCAACCGTGTTGAAAATTCGCCACCATGGGATCTCGAACCCCAGCCATAAGCTTCAGAGTACAAACCCTCACAAGTACAAACGCTAAATTAAACCTGATAGTATCGGCCACAAGTGTCATCTTTTTCGGTCAGAAGTGTCGGTGTTAACTCAGGCGGGAAAATCAAGGTTCATATGCAAGATTAGAGAATGGTAGGGCACAAGTAAAATTTCTATTTAATATACAGACAAACGTCCACTTATTTTGCGGGTTTTTGTACCTTGGGGTACAAGGTTACTCGGCAGATGGCTTTTAAAACGCACAATCCTACACGTTGGCTTGCCACCTAATGCCAAGAAGCCACGAAGCGCTCGCCTGCCTCGGCGTTTCGCAGAAGGAGCGCCGCGCCAAACGGTGTTGAGGTGGGTGAGAGTCCTCCTGAAGGGCGAGGTCGCGTCCTTGCGGGCGCTCGTCCACCGCCCAGCGGGCAGCCGCCTTCGCAGTTTCCCCCTCCACCTACATACCACACTCTAACTACACACAATACTCCTTAAACTAACTATAAACTACAAAGCGTACACTACCCGCCATAGCATTCTACACACTACCCACCATGCCATAGTACTCATTGTGCACCTCATACGTACACCTCGCACACTCACACACACTCACACACACTCACACACACTCACACATACTCACACATACTCACACATACACTCACACATACACTCACACATACACTCACACATACACTCACACATACACT